TCCAAGCATATTTTTAATATTGATACTAAATTAAAATCATGTATTCGCCATTTTATTGGAAATGTATGTGTTCTCTTTTATAAAAAAGACAACACTGGTTCTGGTTATGTGGTTATAAGGCACTCAATAAACTTTTTTATTGGCCTTGTTTACTATTTTCCAAGTAGAAAATGTATGGAATACTACCGGCTAGGATGATTTATGATGAACATAGAAAGTTTATTACTAGAGAGTATGCGTTCTTCTCCTTCATTTGAAGCAAATGTAATAAAGGTTTACGCAAATATGCATACTAGAAGAATTGATCTTAATTTAAAATTTAAAATCAGATACAGATAATATACAGGGTGTTTCAAAACAAATGCGAAAAACTTCAGGGGGTGATTCCTTGTTCAAAATAAAGGGTAGATTGCTTTATAAACGTTGGGTCAAAAGTCAACCATTAGGGAGATATCGCGGTAAAAAGATGGCGGAAAAATAATGTTTTTATTTTTTATCTTGAAAACGAAAAACGATAGACTAAAGAAATTTTATGGAAGCATTACTGTTATGAAAACACACTTTCTGGTAATTTTTTCACTTTTTTAAAATGAGTGCAAGGGGTTGAAATAAACTACCCCTATCATTCTTGTTAACGAAATTTAAAAAAAAGCTTATCAAACACATGCAAAAAAATTAATAAAAATTAATTTGGATAGTTTAGTTTCTTTAGAAACTTTTTTATCTCTTATGTTTTTTTGATAAAACTCACCGATTTGAAATTAAAAAATAAAATGTAAAGCATTACATGTCAAGACAAAAAACATTTTTAGATAGAGAATCTAGTGGGCTGCTCTAATTTTTTTAGGATAAAATCTAGTCGGTCGCTGTCACTTTTTAGGGGATATTTCTAATATTATTTTATTGACATTTCTCTACTGCAATACGTTATTATCTAGATTCTTATTATTATCGTTATTATCACTAGATTCTTTATCTAAAAATGTTTTTATCCTGACATGTAATGCTTTACATTTTATTTTTTAATTTCAAATCGGCGAGTTTTATCAAAGAAACACAAGAGATAAAAAAGTTTCTAAACAAACCAAGCTATCCAAATTAATTTTTTTGCTTGTGTTTGATAAGATTTTTCTTTAAATTTCGTTAACAAGAATGGTAGGGGTAGTTTATTTCAACCCCTTCCGCTCATTTTAAAAAAGTGAAAAAATTACCAGAAAGTGTGTTTTCATAACAGTAATGCTCCCATAAAATTTCATTAGTCTATCTCTTTTCGTTTTCAAGATAAAAAATAAAAACATTACTTTTCCGCCATCTTTGTACCGCGATATCTCCCTAATGGTTGACTTTTGACCCAACGTTTATGAAGCAAACTATCCTTTATTTTAAACAAGGAATCGCCCCTTAAATTTTTCGCATTTGTTTTGAAACACCCTGTATAACAAACAGATAATAGAATAACAAACAGATACGTTCATAGCTTGTTTTTTTTAGCTAAATTTAGTTCTTTTTTAAATCGGTTTGATTATTTTTTTAACCTGTTAGATTTTTTGCACTTTTTTTGTAACTTCAAAATTAAAAACTTTAATAAAAAATAAAAGAAAACTTTATTATGTTGGTAAAATGTTAATTGCAGTTACTTATTACATCCCCTTGTATTGACGCCACGCTACGCCGCTGATTAGAGCTTATTACGCTATATTTTAAACATCTTTATTTCTAAAATAATTATAATGACATGGAGCTCGCATTATAAAAAAGGAGTAGGAGACGGTACTTAAAGAAGAAGGAATTATCATTTTATCTCTGGAGACAGCACTGTGTTCGTCTATAAAACAAATAATTTAGATTTCTTTTAGTGGTCCAGAATTACTACAACATATATAGCATATATATTTAGTTTTAGTATCTTCTAGACAACAGAGAGTAATATAACTCTCCAAAACGTCCGTAGTAGCGGCGTGAATCATAAAAATAACGTTCATAAGAGCGATTTTTTAAAAGTTTTAATTTAATTATATTCTACTATACAGTTAACCTGCTCTTTAAGCAAAATGAAACGGGTCATTAAAATTACTTAGCTATTTAAAGAAAATTCACCCCCTAAAAAGTAAATTAATCATATTCCCTTAATTCCTCTACAAAAAGCCATTGTGTAAACATCTAATATTTTACAGAGGTAATCCATTTTGATTTAAAGTCAGTTATCAAGGAAATGAAGATTAGTGAGAAAATATTAGGGAAGAAAAAGGCATATTTTTTATATACCTTGATATTTTTAATCTCTGGTTTCTTCGTTGTTATATTTATCAGTAATGTTATAAAGTTATTGTACCTACATATAAAGCGTTCTTTATTTTGGTACAAAGAAAAGTATTTTTCTCTAAAAATATAAAAAAATCCATCCAGTGATTAGTGACTTCCTTATTTGTTGACTATTACTTTAAAATAAGTGTAAAATTATACAAAAAATAGTAACAAAAGTGCTAGTTTATAAATGGAAACAATGATTTGTACTGAAATCAAATGCTGCCGTTCATAGAAATTAATTGCATTTCCTTTATTTAAATTTTCTTATAAAATATTATCTATCTTTTATTATCAACACAAACTTATAAAATAGTTTTTATGGTTTTTGTAATGTCACTGTCATTATAAAGTCATATTATTATTGTTTATTTACGTTTACTCATAGACAAATAAATAAAAAGAGACTGACAAATCCCATGGTAAAGAGTGGGACCGCGTTCTCTTAGCGCAACTCAGATTAACAATTTTGAAACCAATTAGCAGGGCCATGGCAGGACGTACGTCTTTATTGGTATCTTTCTTTATTATGTATGCTTCATATGAAAAAGAAAGAGATAGGTATAAAACGTATCGTAAGACATTATCGCACATTCTGGCTGGCGGGAAATTTAAATTAGCCATTATCAGTTCTTTCATTCTGATCGAACTGAAAATTTTCACTTATACTGATTTATTCCCACGTGGGGTAGGGAATAAATTAGTTTAAGTGAAAATTTTCAGTTTCTTTCAGAACGAAAAAAAAAATACTACTAGGTATTATAAGGGAAATTATTAAAAAAGCAAAAATTGTACTGTTCTATAAACATATTTATTTATACATAAAAATAAATAAAATTTTTCTAATATAATAACAAAAAATAACAGTGTGTATTCCATCCACCTACCAATTTCAAACGCAGAAGAACTGACTGTTGCAAGAAACGATCAGCCAATTTTTTAAAGGGCATTAAAAATCTTTTAAAAATTTTCGAAAAAAAGTGGGGCTGCCTGGTTATTGCAGCCACTCCTTCAATTATTATCAGTAATTTTGGAAAAAATATGCATTTTTACATACTATATATCTAAATTTTCCCAGACATTTAGGCACTTTTTTAAATTAGTTTATTTTAAGATTATTAAATCACATTGTTAAATAAGTTAAAATAAGTACCTACATTTTTTAACCATCATTTTTTGTTAACTGCCTAATTGCAATAACCAAGTGAATATCCAACCAAAGAAAACTTTACGAGAATCATGACCCTGAACCATTTTCAAGTCCAGTTTTAATCCTAAAACAAAAGTAAAATAGGTATATTAATTAAGTTTCTATCTGGTTACTATAAACTACCCAAGAAATTAAATGTATTAATTTGTTATGTTAAGAGAGGTTCGAAATATTTTTGGCACTACTACTTCTACTTTTTTCTTAATAGGTTGATAAATATAACATACTTACTTTTATTTTACCGGGTGTCTTTAACATATCTATCAGAGAAAGGGGGTACAAATACATATAAAAAATAGATGATACTGGCTCCTGCAGCAAATAAAATAACAAATAGTATAACCTAAAATTATAAGTAACAAAATATAAGTACCTATCTGAAACAAAGGAATTTGTTCCCTATCCATATCCATAAGTTAATAAAATGGAGAGTTTAGCAAAAAAAGGTAAATCACCAAAAGAAAAATTAACAAATATGACGAATTGTCATAACGTTGTCATCTTGGTTGTCATGATGACGAAAGGCGATTGTTCTAATTTCTATTTAGAAATTACGTTTTATATGGTTGCTTCTTCCTTTCTTGTTATATTAGAATGAGATAGTAGTCCCAATAGACGCAATGCGCAGATCAACATAAATAGAACCAGATTTTGCGTTCTGAGTTGCGCTACGGGAACGTTGTCCCTCTCGTTGCCATTTAATTTGCCAGTCTCTTTTTATTTGTTTGTCTATGCGTTTACTCTAGTAGAGATGGTTTGTAAGTATCTGAAGTTCTGAAGCATCGGCTATTGCTGTTTTAATTGATAATGGTAGAGATTAAGTTTTGGACTTACAACCATATCTACTAGAATAACTGCCCAACAGACAATAATAATATGATTTTTGGAAGACAGTAACATTACATAAATCATAAGCAATATTTTTTAGGTCTGTTAACTCGGACTGAAAGAAAAGGCATGGTTTTAATGTAAAAAAATATTAAAAAATATTAGTGTCTTTTTCAACAGCGGAGATCTCCAAAAAAATAAAGCTATTGAGATGAATCAAAAAACAAACTCTCGAGGAAATATACACCTAGATGATAAATTGATTTTTAAATTCCTTGCTTTTTTAACTGACCCCACAGGATGTTTCAAGCTTTCACCAAAATCTTAACATTTTGTTTTCCCTCGTATAATTGACAGATGGCAACTTTCATTTTTAATTTAGAAAGAAATACTAAAAAGTCAAATATATCAGCCACAAATCGCTTTAAAATCAACAAAATCGGTCTATATACTAGAACACAATATATAAAACTTCAAAATACATCCGTTTTTCAAGTGCGTACTATTTGTGGTACTAGTTTTTATTACCTAAATTTGGAGATAAACTAAAAATCTTTTTTAGAAATTATATTTGTTAAAACGAAAACATAATATGTACTATTTATCTAGTAATAGATTGGTGGTCGACCGTAAATCTAACTGTACTTTGTTGTTATAGTTTGTGAGCTGCTGTCAAACGGCCTGGCCGCTGTTTTTGGGCCAGAATCTTTCGCCCTCAACGAAGTAATCGAATCAACAGCTCTGAGTCTACAATTACCACACTTTCAAATCTTCTGGAATCCTAAATTGCTACCTCAAGACAGCGAAAACCGAAGTACAATTTTCAACTTGCACCCCCAATCGGCTGATTTGTCTAAAGCCTTGGCCACTTTGATAAGAGACAATGATTGGAGCAGTTACACCATTATTTATGAAGAGGAGTCTGGATTGGTGAGACTAAGAGAAAGTCTTAAAGATAGAAAAAGTGCAGATCCGATTGTGTCGTTCAGAAAATTGGGTCCTGGACCAGATTACAGGTAAATATTTAGGATAGTTGTTTATAAATATCAAGAAAATAAAACATCCAAAGACTTACTTAACAAAAATGGCTGTCTACACCGAGTGAGCGGTACAAGAAACGAACACCTTAAAATTTTAATTTACTTTAGAGTTCCGTAGATTTTGTCCTAGTTTATACAGGGCGTCCCAGTATTCCGTGGACAAGAACTACTACGTATTTTTGGAATCAAAATAAGTTCATTGCACACAATTTATCTCTATAAAAAAGTGCTTGGTTTATCCGCTAGAGGGCTTCAAACTTTAAAAATACACACACCGGAAAAATCTAGGGATATCATTTTGTTTTCATATCAAGTTAAAAATAAATGTTTTGAATAAACAACCACATATTTGTAGGCCGATTCTTTCTATTTCGATTGAAACCAAGTAGTCACACTAGTTATTTCTAAATTTGGGATATTTGCAGAAGTGTTTGTGCATTTTTTGTCAAATGTATAAAAAGCACCTAGCATCAATTGTTTGAATTTATACTGTACTGGCTATGTTTTTATGATAACTGACCAGAATTCATTCAAATAACTCTGTTTAGTATTAAACGACATTATGGAGCGTAGACATCTTAACAGAGACGAAATGCTAAGGGCCATGGGTATGCTCGAAGCTGGAATGCGCCAAATCGACGTAGCTAGAGCTTTAAATACAACGCAAAGTGTAATATCGCGATTAAGTGCACGCTACCGTGAAAGTGGTGATGTTGCTGAAATGCACACAGGGCGACATCGCATTACTACCCCTCAGCTCTTGCTGAGGAATGCTTGCTGAAAAAATGATCTTTCATTTTTTACAATTAAATGCTCGACGCCGACCGACTCTTACAGCACCAGAGCTTAGTTTAATTTTCCAGGAAACACATAATGTAACCGTTAGCCCTGACACTGTTCGCAATAGATTAAGATAGGTCAACTTAAGAAGCAGACGCCCCTGGAGAGCTCAACCCTTAACGAGAGGAAATCGAGAGGTACGATATTTGTGGGCTCAAGATCATGTTCAGTGGTCGAATGAACAATTCTCATGCATGACAATGCACGGCCTCATACAACCAGAGTGGTAAGTGAGTTTATCAATGCTCATCAATTAAATATCTTACCCTGGCCGGCACAATCTGCTGACCTCAACCCCAAAAATCAAGGTAAATTTGAAAAAATTCTTTTTTTCAATACGTCCTGTAAACTATTTGTTTATTTTAATTTTATTATATCAGAAATGCAAATAATAAAATTACTGACGATGGCTTGATAAAATTGTAATATCCCTAGACTTTTCCGGTGTGTGTAAAAACACATTTTTTCAGAATTAGAACCGTGAATCCGATTTGAATGAAATTTGGGGTGTCTATGTTTTTCTAAGTGCTTTAAGCAAAATAAAACACTAAATCGCCACAATACACCAAAACACTTTTACTTTTACACTGGACGCGCGTTTCGCTAACCATGTTAGCATCATCAGCAGATGATTATAAACTAAAGTACAATCTACAAGTTGAGCGTTTATATACTCGCTCAGTGGGCACCGAGTGGGCGTGGCAAAATCTAGCCAACCAAGTCAGAGCCTACTGAGCGTAACAGTTAGATTTCCGCCACTAGAGTAGTAGGAACAAAGAACTTGAAGGAATTGGACCGTTGACTCTGTTCATACTATCTTTACATTTATTAATTATGATGCTTTCATATGCATCTAATTGCCTGTAATTTGAGACTTGTTTAATTAATTTTAAATTATTAAGATCTATACAATGTTCATTATCAACAATATGTTCGGCAACGCAAGATTTATCCGGTCTACCATATCTTATCTGAGCTAAATGTTCTTTAAATCTAGTTAATATTGATCTCCTAGTTTGCCCAACATATTTCTGATTACAATCTTTACAAGAAATTTCATAAATACCCGACCTTTCCAGTGGAGGTGTTTTATCTTTTGGATTACCTAATAATTGTTGTAATTTATTATTAGCACTATACACAAGTTTATAATTGACATTCTTAAAAATTCCTTTTAGACCACGGGATAACTCTCTATCAAACGGTATCGAAAAATATTTAGACGTATCTTTCTCCACTTGAAAAGTCGAATTTTCAGAAATCATTAACCTATACCTACGTTTTCTAATTAATTTATCAACTAGTGAAGGAGAATATCCATTACACTCAGCTACACTAAGTGCTTTAACATTTGATTTTCTAAAAAATCAAGAAAAAGTACGGGAAGGGTGAAAACTACCCTTAGAATGTCAATTTCTGTCAAATAAAGAGAAAAATACCGAGGGTACCATTTAAAAATGAGAAGTTGTAATCATTTCCGATGAAATGGGAACTGACCGAAACAAATGAATACGTCAATTAATCCTGATTTATGTCATAACTAACATACCAAATATCGATTTTTCGTCTAACAAAATAAAAAATTTGTCAGCCAATTTTGAAAAACACCCGGCAAACTGTTAGTAAGTAAAAGTAACTAGTAAAAGTTAGAGTTCGGTATAATTCGTTTTACATTAATCTAATACAATACAAGCAATTTCAGGGTCTATTACAACAGGTACTAGTGCACTTTAAAATGTGCATACATCATTAATTTGCACCCCATGCATATTCTACATTTAGAATAACAGCATTTATGAACCAATTTAAATGCAGAAATCGACTGCACTCGCAGTCCTGTTTATTAATACGTAATATGCATTTTGGAATAACTGAATTAAAAGTTTGCCGTTTGGAATTAAATAGGTACCTGCCATAGTAAATGGTAAAACGATAAGTTGAGAACTGTTATATTTCGTAGAGTAATATTTGGATTTACTAAATAAGATAACTCTGTTCTAATTGGTGTTTTGTGAAAGTTAGATATTATGTAAAATATAATTTCGACTATATGTGATAACTGGAAATTTCGAGTTTGTTTGTTTATGACAACTTTTCCTAATCGTATGCACATCAAAAAAACCTTAAACTCTCTCTCATCTATATAGGTATATTAACTGACAAATAAAATACATACTAAATGATTGTTATAAAACTAGTATAGTTATAAAATAATATCTAGGCCTTGGGGGGTTTCAATACAGGAAAATATGAACGTATTGTAGTAATTAGCGTGTATCTATTTATATACTAGCGTGTACAAGCGACTTCGTTCGCGTCGAATTAATCATTTGTAATGGTGATGATAAAGCAAAGCAAGAATTTCCATTCACAAACTGGATAAAATTTTCACACATTTAAGTCAGCATGAGAAAAAAGAATATGGCGATATTATTATATAACTTGGTAATATTTGAGAGGTAGTTTCATCTCGTTGGAATTTGACTTTCGAAAAATCCGTTTGCCAAAAATAAGCTTTTTACGTCAAGCAGTTTAAGCAGAATCGTGGTTAAGAAATTACCCAACTTTTTGGAACACCCAGTACGATTTTTTAAAAAATTTCAAAATATGTAAAAAAACCAAATAAAATATGCTTGTCCAAGCGTTTTCCGGAAAGACTAACCGTTTTTTAAATAACAAATATTGTAATATTTGAGGGGCGTTTTCACCCTCTTGGAATTTAAGATTCGAGAAACCCCGTTGTTTAAGCAGAATCGTGATTACTCAATGGTCATATTTTATGAAAACCCTGTATAAATTTATAAAAAATCTTAAAATATATAAAAAAACAAAATTAAATATACGTGTTTAAGAGTTTTGCCGAAAAACTCGCCGGTTTTTAAATAAAAAATATTTTAATATTTGAGGGAGAGTTTCCCCTCATTAGAATTCGAGTTTCGAAAAATCCCTTCTTATCGAACCTCTACACCCTAAAGTCAATCTGTTTTCCAAAAATCAGCTTTTTACGTCAAGCGCTTTAAGCAGGATCATGATTAATCAATGACCAGATTTTTCGAAACACCCTGTATACATTTTTAAATAATCTTAAAATATGTAAAAAAACAAAATAAAATATACGTGTTTAAGCGTTTTTTCGGAAACTTGATCGTTTTTCAAATAAAAAATATTGTAATATTTGAGGGGTGGTTTCACCCTCTTGGAACTGGAATCGAAAAATCCTTTCTTATCGACCTTACACAATCTTACACCCTAGAATCAACCTGTATGCCAAAATTGAGCTTCTTACGTTGAGTGGTTTGAGCAGGATCGTGATTAATCAGTATGTCAGTCACTTAAGGATTTTATATATTAGTATAGATTACTGGATTTATAAAGATAAAAGGAAGTACCACCAATAGTACATTCCACCTTAATGGAAAGTACCCTTTCAGGTCTGTTACGGAATTTTTCTCAATCGCCATTCGCTTTGGCATTAAAATCTGTGTAAAATATTTTAAAACGGTATTATTTTTAAACGGTTTAACATTATTCTTAAGCATAGATTAGAGGAAACACTTTTTTATTATTAACATTTCGAACAAAATGCATTCTTTATAAAAAATTTTGCTTGTTCTACAATGGTTAATCCCGTTTATACTTTTCCATATTTATACCGGGTGCGTCTCAAAAGTGGCTCACCCCTATAACTTTTTTATTTTTTCAGATACAAAGACGAAATTTGGTATGTTAGTATATGACATAAATTAGGATTGATTGACGCATTCAAGTTTTTGCGGCCACTTCCTGTTTCACCGGAAATGACTGCAACATTTGATTTTTAAATGGCATCCTCGGTATTTTCTTACTTTATTCGAGAGAAAATAACACTCTGAATATGAATGACATATCATATGTCAACTTTTGACATTTTCGAATATGGTTTATTTGAAATTGCAACAAGCGGTTCATAACGACAATTTGAATCGAAATACCAAGTGTGTGGTATCAAATTATTCGTAAAAAATGCTTTTTCCAAATATGCTAATGAGCCACCCTCGTTCTATTTGGAAAAATTGAGATATTATTAAAAATATTATTTGGGCATCTTTTAACCGGCCAGGACAAAACATTAAAAACATTAGACGATCAAATCTATTTTTCCAAAGCTCCTTGACTAAAAATTAGTGTTTTTAACATTGATTGAATAAGCGTTAAGCCTACCTTAATAACAGTGGTCACTGCTTTACTGGTTACTTTTGCCTGTTAATAGTTTAGTCCTGCTTTGATCGTGCTACACTTTTAAATCACTGGTAAATCATTTCAAATTCATATTGCTATTGCAACAAAAGTAAAATTATTAGTCAAAACATTTTAAGACTTTAGGAATTTATATTGGAAATGAAACAATAAAAATATTTTCCAAAACAATTTATTGTATTCGTCGTCTGCGGAAGTTTTATTACTATTTTCATTTGTTATTAAAGCTTGTTCAGATTAAATATTACAATACAAAAATTTATATATTTTAAATATTGGTAGTAACTTACTGTAATTTAAAATTATATATTTATTACTGTAATTTTAAATACTGCATCTGAATATTTTATAAAATATACCTATTTTATAATGTATATAATATATAGAAAATATTTCACAAAAGCCTCAAAAGTTTTATTGGTTTTTATTTTTACTTTAAATATTTGCAGAAATTAATATTTTATTTTTGTACAGATTAATAAGTTTTAATTTGCTAATTACTAAGTTAATAAAAATACGAGTGCGTCTCAAAAGTGACTCCAATCTATTATTTTTTTATTATTTCAGATAAAATAAAAACGAAAAATTTGGAATGTTAGTATATGTCAAAAATTAGGATTGATTGACGTATTCAATTATTTTTGGTCACTTCCTGTTTCATCCAAAATGACTACATCTTTTGAACTGTCACCCTCAGTATATTTTTACTTTATCCGATAGAAAATGACACTCTGGATAGAATGACATATCATATGTCAACTTTTGATATTTTCCTTTGAACAAGAAGACTAAGGAAGGAGCATATCAAAAATCTTAGGTCCACCGCGATAGGCCTCAAATATGGCCGACTTAAATTCCGGTTTATCAGTGCCGTTTTAATTTTATTTGAAAAAATATAAAACTATGATGTAGGGTAGACGTGGGGTAGACTCAATAATATGTTGTTTTATTTGACGTTGTGAATAAATGTTGGTAGTTATTAAAATTGTTACAAAAATATATAATTCTAATAAAAATAGATAAGTTATAATAATTATCTATTAACACAAACATCCGATACGCTACTGAAGCAGGTAAATCTGGTAAATCAAATTGACGTGTCTAAATTCTTTGACATCTAATCTTTGACAAGTAGTAAATAAAAGCAAAAATGCAAGAAAAAATATAGAATTAGTTAATTTAAGTGAATTTCATAAATGATCGGTTTACTACACGTATGTATATTATATAGTCACTTACTAGCGAAAAGTTGTTCCATTATTTCACTCGATTTTTGCCGAGATCTACCGCACGCTACACAACCAACTATTTTAGAGTCTTTTTCGATAAATCGCGATAGTGTCACTGTTAATTTAAGTTCTGCCACAATTTCCATCTAGATTTACTACCTTTATACAACTATCAGTAGTAGAATAAATAATAAATAACATAAAATAAGCTCCGTAAAGACTGACAAATCCATAAAATTTCAAATCAAATTCAAATGTGTCAAATGAATCGTCAAACAGAACTGTCAAGGATCCCCACCCTAGAGTGCTTTTTCCGCCCACCATGCATGAATACATGGATAGCATTATGTTCCTTCCTTAATATTTTCGCATTTGTGAAATTTAGAAGTTGTAGTAATTTCCGGTGAAACAGGAAGTGACTTAAAACAATTGAATACGTTAATCAAAACTAATTTGCTTCCATAAAATTTCATTAGTCTATCTCTTTTTGTTTTCAAGATAAAAAATAAAAACATTATTTTTCTGCTATCTTTGTACCGCGATATCTCCCTAATGGTTGACTTTTGACCCAACGTTTATAAAGCAAACTACCTTTTATTTTGAACAAGGAATCACCCCCTAAAGTTTTTCGCATTTGTTTTGAAACACCCTGTATATTAAATTTATTATTTTTGTTTGCCTCCATGCTGTATTTGTCAAGATAAATGACTATTACCTAAAAATAAACTAAACTAATGTTAAAGGTGAATGGCCAGGTTCATTTTTCTATTTCCGAGCATACGGAGGGATTCTATTTCTTATTCGAGAATTAACCTGAACTTGACTTATGGGCTTCATCTCCATGAAAAATTGAAGGGGTTGTTGAAGGGTTATTTAGTTTACATACTGAGACATAGTAAAAACGTTTATATAGGTGTAATAATAAAAGCAATATGGGTTGAAGAAGTTTGATTTTTTGCCACTGTAAGAAAAACTTAACTTACAAAAATAAAAAGTTACTCATTGTAAACAGCACTGAGTTGAATCTAATCGAAGACCAGTTTCAAGTTATTTATTGACATTGTCATTCATTTTGACACTTAAGTTTTGTATCACGTGTTTTTGGTATAAATAAATAGTGTTCTGATACTTTAAGCTTCAAAATGTTTACTAGCAGACCTTGGAGTCGAACATTGTTCTTTTTAGAACCTCGTTTAGTGTGAAGTGTACAAGATAACTTAATAGCCGGAAAAAAACTCACCGCTCAACTTAGAATATTTTGAACGGGAAAGCGGTAGTTATGGCCCTTTATGTCCCTTAAGTGTTGTTAAGAAAGTTAGTTTTGCTGATGTAAATATTAACAGTTTATATATTTATAATTAATTTATGTTTGTTTCCTAAAATATTTTAATTAAAAGAAAATATATAAAAGTGGGGAGCGCTGTGCCGGTTAAGCTTATTCACGTGACTAAAAGTTTATTTGGTGTGAACTATAGCTTTTTAAGTAAAAAGATTGCCTAAACGACAAATAAAGCTCAGGAGATTATCTCCTCCTGTAAATAAAAAAGAATAAAAAAAAACATATAAATTGTAAAATATCATAATAAAGCTGTTAAAGAACACTGTAGTTTTTATTATTTGTCTTTCAAACCAAAGTATCTGCTTAAATCTAAAGCGTTTTTGAATAGTTGGGACAATCTGTAAAATTAGGCGTAAGTTTCCTAAACTGAACAGTATGATAATTAATTGTAATGTAAAATATTTTGATACATTATGGAAAATTTGTACAATTTTCTGTTATACATCTAAACTTTTAAAACTAGTTATTATATTAAAAAAGTTTTAAAATTATATTCCAGAACTGTCCTGAAACAGATTAAAAATTCCGAGGACGTCCATTTCATCCTGGACTGTCGCGCTGACCGGATTCTGGACGTTTTACGACAGGCCAAGCAAGTGAAACTTCTGGAAGATTACCACAGTTATATACTGACGGATTTGGTACGTAAGCCCGAATTTTACAGCTTTTCATATCGCATGGCGGTTGGCGTGCCGTAAATTCTCAAATATCAGTTATAAATATAAACCTTGCAGCTGCTTTGACAGGGTGTAAAGACGGACTTAAAGTTTTTGCCGCTTTGGGAAACTTTAAAACAATACGTCTTTCGTGTGGGATTTTTACAGCGCAACAAACTTCCCACGATATTGTTAGTAGTTTTCTATTTATATTATTTTTTAGAAAATTGCTGAAAGGTCTGGCAGATTCATTTAGAGTTAAAAACTCATATTTTTTATGTAAATTCCACTTAAGTCTTTTCAATTAAATGCCATAAGACGTTTGGTTTATTATGTAATACTAATAGCGGATATGATCTTCCAATATGTTTAAGAAGTAAGGTCTTTAACCAGTGGGTCTTGCCTGTCCTCACGTATGGAGCCGAAACACTTACTTTGATAAAAAAAGAACATACATAGAATACAGGTCATGCAACGGAAAATAGATATTGTAACGTTTATAGTTCGTTACAAGTTTTTTTATATACAATATATGATGTCTGGCCTATCATCACCGGATTCCGTATCGTTCAGGCCTGATAATTTATTTGGCACGCGTGGCGTAATTTTTACGTTCCCTAGTCGCCAACCCTGCTATCGTTTCACTGTTCTGTGGAGGCGCGCGCTGTCAAGATCCTTGTTATATGTCAAGGCGCCTCTCTGCGTTTTAACCTCACTTGGTTTTTGTCCAGTTTGCGGCACGGTTGCAAATCCTGCTTTTAGAAATGGCAATTTAAATCTTGCTGCAAAATCTGAATCAGCTGCCATTTCGAAGCTACAGGGAAAGATATATATTCGATATTATTATTGTATATATACATTCGATATTATTATTGAATATTTTTAGGGTAGAGTTTTGGATTGATCCACCTTAACTCGTATTTGTATTTTGCTGACACGTTGGTGTACTTTTGCTGTTGTCCTCCAGAATGTTAAATGGAAGAAAGGACAGTTCTTTTGTTTATCATTGAGCCCTCGGAAGTGTTTCGAGGTAGGTTTATTTTGTTTATTAGACCTTGTTTGGTTTTAAACAGGAGTTTCGTATTTTTAGGGTCTTATGGACGGACTGTGTCCAAGGTATGGGCAGGTGTCCCATATATATGTATTGATTCCAAGGTACGGGTAGTGATCCCCTGTACCGTTATCTTATGGACGGACTGTGTCCAAGGTTATGGTCCAAGTTACGGACATTATCCAAGGTCCTAGTAGTGTTCCAAGGTACGGGTAGTGTCCCCATATTGCCACAGAATGGATACAGCGTAAGCCCCATGCTGCTTCGCTCCCATTTCTAAGCCTAGTCAGTAGCTATGGCTGTATTGATTCATGGTGTCCTCATTCTGGCCCCTTTTGTTGTTTTGGCTAACAGGATCGCCAACAGACAGTACAGAGATATGAGCCTACCTCACGCTGCTACTCTTCGAAACAGGATTGCCTCAAGAACAGCTAAGTGTAGATTTAGGTTCAGATTTTCAGTCGATTTTCAGTCTTAACTTAATAACGTACATTTTAAATAATATCGTACAGACTATATTTAGTGGTTAGATTACTAAGAACATTCATGTCGATTTAGTAGTTACAATATGATTTAGATTTTAGGTTTTATTACATTACGCCTTGTAATAGTATTTAACCACCTATAATAATTATTAAAATTGTACAACGCTATTTACCATCAGAATTCATCATGAGTAAATATAGCCATTAGTTTTAAGTAATATACAGCTGTGTTTTCTTTCTCTGTACATGCCTGGCGCCCAATATCTATTTCTTTTGTTTGTTGTTATTAATTAGTTTTCTTTCCAGTGAAATACCTTATCCACGACTGCTCTCCGATGAAAATATACACGATACGTGATGTTATCTGTCTACCGCACTCCGGACATTCAAAAATTTCATTGCTTTGTTGCCTCTTTACTTTTTGGTTGTCGCTGTTAACTGACTTTACAATTCTTCTTCATTGCGTTCTATTGTGAGCTACTTCTTCCCACTCATTCTGCATGTTAATCGTCTTTAAGTTTTCGTAAAAAATATCCTTGTACCTTTTGAGTTGTGCACCCGGCCTCCTCTTACCGTCTACAAGCTCACCTCTCTGTTACAACTTGTTTAATGCGTTCATGTGTCTGAACGTCACTGAAAAATACGTTTTTTAGTTTTGTTCTTTGTATTACTAATATAGATCGTTAATTTAAATAATAATATAGAATATTTTCTATATATATAGAATATTTTCTATATTATTATTTAAATTAACGATCTATATTAGTAATACAAAGAACAAAACTAAAAAACGTATTTTTTGAGTGACAAATATAGCTTTCTAAAAAATCATCAAAAATATTCAAACTGAGCACGTCCATTTGAGTTCACAATAAACATCTTTTGCTCACAGAGTTACAGCAATTTATTAGGTGATCTGGTTTAATAAGTCCAAAAGCTTGCCTAGCAGACTTCTGCAATTCTTTTCTAATAATTATTATTTATTAATTTGTATACTTATAAAAAAAAAGAATCAACATTTTCAAATATTTTTTTTTGAAATTAGCCCATAAATTAGTCCATTTATTTTTTTATATGTTTGTATTTTAATTTAGAAGATATCCGATAGCAACAGCGTGAATTTTACTACGTAATTTTTAATCTATTTTAAAGAAAAAACTAGTACCAAAATCAAATTTGACCTAAATCAATAATAGAAAATACCATATGAAACAGACTTTATGTGTGACGCTATGTACGCCCCTAAATCTTTGAAGAAAAGTCAACTAGCTCCGTAAAACGTCTTATAAATATTGAAATATGACTATATCTTTATTTCTAGGATGCTCATACTCTTGACTGGACCGAGTTCAAAGAAATGCCAGCCAATATTACTGCATTCCGATTTATTGACCCTGCCAGCGATGTAATAAAGAATATTAGAAAAATATGGAGGGTGGACGCAACTAATATTAAGGTATGTTTCTTAATAAAATATGGTGTACTTTGAAATAGTTGGTAGTATTTAAAAAAAATAAAAACTGTATATTTAATACACTAGCGACATTAAATGATATATATTTTAAGCGATATAAAATGTATATATTTTAGAATAGAATCTAACTACCTAGAATATACCGGGTGGTGCATCGTCGTTGGAAATATCGGAAATTGCATGCAAATTTTGAACTGTCCATATATTGGTTTCCCTGTTAATTTGACAGCGAAGGTATTAATAGGTCTTTAAAGGTCTGGGTATGCTGAATACACATGCCAAATTTGAAGAATTTTGGACAAACCGATTTTAAGTAATTTATGAAAAACTGCATCTATTTTTAAATTAAAACTGGAGAGATAACAATGCAAAACAAGGCAAATGCCGAAGTAGGTACCTCAAATTGTCATACAAGTAAAATAACTCTGTTATTTTAGACTTATTTGAAAAACGGTTAAGAGAAAAGATGTTTCTTTTATTGAGATCTAACAGCCCTGAATATATTTGCATTTATTTAGGACTCTCTCTGTATATTCTGGTGCTGTATAATAAAAGCTTCTTAAAAATCCTAAATACTCCGGTTAATTTTAAACATTTCAGTCTACCAAAATTCCGACAAAGCTGAATTTTGGTAGAGACCTTGGGTTTACCATTATAAAGTAGAAGGAAGAAATAAGTTATTCTGCTAAACAAGTTATTCAAGGTCAGATATCAAATTTTTTTTGGATTTTTCTCATAAATGGTAAGTTTTTTCAAAAAAAATAGCCCAGACCAAAACTGTAGCTTATATTATTATCTAAAATAATAGTCCTTACACTTTTTTTCTAAGAATTGCCATTTCTGAGTTGCTCATTTAAAATTTCGATCGAGTTATTTTCTATACATTATACACACATTTCCAGGCCACTTATGACGTAGTGTTCTCGGCACGGTTTTTGTATCAAATACATGTTCTGCCTAGATTACTACTTAATTTTTCTTTGTTCTGTAACTCCATAACTCTTTTTTCAATGTTTCATAACATAATGGTATATGAGTCGCAGTTCTTATTTCTTTTTTTTTAATTTACAATACGGATTCCCTCCCTATAATGCTCTCTTAATTAACTTGTAAAATTCGAACTACTCGGGATACATCGGTCCTTAATTATTTTTAAAATAATTAAACCTCGATATATTTTACTGACTCTTAATTTTTGGCTTGATAAAATTTTAATTAAAAGTAGATCACAAAGCGTTTTAAATAATAAAACATTTATTATTAATAAAATAAGTTTTAAATAACATTAAGTACGCAATTTTGATTTATTATAATAATTCAGTACTTAAATCTAACTAACTTATCAATTGATTTTTAATATTTTATGTATAATATATTTTTTTTGGTAAAACAACAGACAAAATAAAATGGAATAAGCTACTGATTTAAACAACAGAATTGTAATTAAATGTTTGTAATCAAAGTTAGAGAAATAACTTTAATTAAAAGTTACAATAAAATAAAAATATAGATATAGCTCAATAAACTGCCTTGATATGTTTTCAGACCTTATTTGCTTTCGGTTCATACGTCATTGTCAATATTTTATAATACACATTAATAATTCATTTCCATTGATGATAAAATTTATAATTATTTTAATAATCTCCAATTCAAAATTGGACAAAGAATATTGACCTTTATAATTTTATGTACAATATTAAATATTCTATTTAAATTTTAATATATTTATGTTTTTAATAATATATTTGGCAATATCAAATTATGTTTAAACAATAATTAATAAAATGTTATATAATCAAATATAAATAAATAAAATTAATTGAAAATAACTTTTTTGTATGTGTCTTATATTTAATTTTTTTAACATGTAACATGAGCACCGTCTGAATGATTATTTATTAATATGAGATACATAAAAAATGTCTATACCTCTGTGGCGGATGCTTCTTCCCAAAAAAGGCTTTCGAAAAAAATAAGAATGATGGGAAAACAATATAACATACGAACATCCTTCAAAACAGATTTCCAACATCTTATAGAAGTTATCAAAGAACTGTACACCGATAACATCAGTTATATAAAACAAGGAAAGATACTCTCGGAACCCATATGTACAACGAAAGGTCTGAGACAAGGTTGTTGCGTATCCTCTCTTTTGTTTAATATTTACCTGGAGATAGCTCTTAGGAGGTGGAAGAGATCATGTCAAGGAATGGGCATTCCAATTAATGAGGAACATCTTCTGACACTTAATTTTGCAGACGATCAAGCAGTATTTGTTCAAGATTCCTTTGACATGGAGTTTATGCTCAGGAGACTATATACTGAGTATCAGGAATGGGGTCTAGAAGTCAGTTTAGAAAAAACAGAATACTTGGTATTAAATTCCGACATCAAATTTGATATTCTAATTGACGACAAGGCAGAAATACAACAGGTAGACACATTCAAATATGTAGGAGCTGTAGTTGATAAAAATGGAATCGGTGGGACAGAGATACGACAGAGAATTCAGAACGCAAGGAAAGTGGTAGGGGCACTCAACTCAATCTGATGGGACAAACATAATAATATAAAGAATAAAAAACATATTGGCCAAACAATGGTAGAATCGGTCTTATGCTATGGGAGTGAGATATGGGCCCTAAGAGAAGAACATAAACGGAGAGTATTGGCTGTAGAGATGGATTACTTACGTAGAAGCGCTAGAGTGTCCAGATTACAAAGAGTGAGAAACGAGGAAATCAGAAAGAGAACATCGGCACAAGAAACAGTAATTCAACGAATAAAGAAAAGAGGTTTGAGATGGTTTGGTCATCTAATGAGGATGGAAGACACAAGATGGCCAAAACGTGTATTCAAATGGTCACCCACTGGAAGAAACAAAAGGGGACGCCCGCGTCGGTCCTGGAACGATGGTATACGACAGGCGATGAGAGATCGGAATATCGAAGAAGATCTCGTGTACGACAGAGATGGCTGGCGATTGAGACTGGGAAGACAACATTTAGTTGTATAATCTGTATAGTACAGTAACTGTATTTTTATAAGATTAACCCCAACTATACAGGGTGATTCCTGTAAGTCGGCCATGCTTTCGAGGAATGATAGGGGACGTCGAAATATTAATTTTGATATAGCACACTATGTGTCGGAAATGCCTCTTCCGCAAGATACAGGGTGTTAACGTTTTTGAAAAATTAAAGATATTCTTTAATAGTTTTTTTTTTAACAGTTAAAGGTATTGTTATAAAATTTTATTATAGGAGTCTGCCTAACAAAGACACTTTGAATGTAAAAAGAAGAGGTTTTAGTTTCAACCAGTGGCGTAGCTGTGATACGCATCGGGTAATATTTTCCAAAAAAATAGTACGCCACTGATAAAAATAAAAATTTCGGAGTTTTTTTTTTATTTACACGGTTTATTTCCAAGAAAAAATGTCTCTAGCAACTTTCTTCTATCTAACACCACTTTGTCACAATTTAAAAATAAATATTTTTTTAATGAGAACCTTAAATATGCGAATTATTATAACTACCTTAAACTAAGAATTTTATTATTAACAATAAAAAAAATCTAGTTTAAATTTATAATTTTTTAAAAATTGATTTAGAGCTAATAGTAAAAAGTACTAAAGTTACCCAAGATGAAGGGAGCTAACGATGCACATGTGTTTCTGCCCTCTAGTTATAATAATTCGCTGTATTTGAGATTCTCATTAAAAAAATTATTTATTTTTAGATAGTGACAAAATGGTGTTAGATAGGAGAAAGTTGAAAGAGACATTTTTTCTTGGAAATAAACCGAGTAAATAAAAAAATCTCCGAAATTTTTATTTTAATCAGTGGCATACTATTTTTTTTTGAAAACATTACCCGATGCGTATCACATCTACGCCACTGGTTGAAACTAAAACCTCTTCTTTTTACATTTAAAGTGTCTCTGTTAGGTAGATTCCTATAATGAAATTTTATAACGATACCTTCAACTGTTAAAAAACTATTAAAGAATAGCTTTAATTTTTCAAAAATTTTAACACCCTATATCTTGCGTACGAGGCATTTCCGACCCATAGTGTGCTATATCAAAATTAATAGGTCAACGTCCCCTATCATTCCTCGAAAGCATGACCGACTTACAGGAATCACCCTGTATATATATAACATCCTTCAAAACACAAAATACACTTGGATCCATTTCAACACACACTAAACCAATAAACAGTGGACAACAAACAAAAAATGTAATATACAAAATACTATGTGAATATGATAAATTTTATATTGGTGAAACATCTAGACCCTTAAATGTTCGAATTAAAGAACATAAAGATTATTTAACAAGAGGCAATTTTCACAAATCTAACATTTTTCAGCATTCATGGGACACAGAGCCAAGAGTAGATTTTAACAAAGCAAAAATTATTATGAAAGAAGCGATGGCATCTAAAGAAAAATAAAAGAGGCTTTTTTTAACACAATCTAATAAAAATAAATGTATTGCTCATGCATCTCTATATGTTAGTAATGTATGGCAATCGCTTCTTTGATTTTAAAGAACATAACATAGATAAACAAAGCATACGTAAACATTAAAAACAAATTAAAAAATAATCATACAGAAAGTTTGAAGCTTTTTGGTTTTACTTTATAATAATTGCATTTATATATTTTAAATAGTTTTTTTCTTTGTTATTTGTGTCTTTTTGCTTTGACGACGGGAAACTTTCCGAAACGTTAAGCATTTTTTTGTCCGTTAGTAAAATTTGTTTTTTAGTAAACCACTGCCGACTATTAGTCTCTATTGGATTAACGCCAGCAGTGTTTACAAAAAATAACTATTTTATTTTGTAGATTTTCTTACAGTGCGAAAATACCCATAAGACTTTTTTGGAGAGATTAGATACATATTTTATAAGAATAAAATTACAGGTGGTCGAAAGTTAATATCATATTTGATTAACTAACCATTTGTAAGTTAATATTTTTTTTAGAGAATCCTAAATTCACATATTATACAGGGTGAGTTCTCTATACAGATGTTCTCTATGGGTATCTCGGAAACTACTGGAGATAGAGAGTCGGTTAAATGGGGAAAGAATTGAAGTTTTGTGGGGTCATAAATATGCTCCTTTCAGATTTCTGAAAAAGTTCATGGTTTACTAGATAATTCGAAAAAAAAATTTGGCTATTTAAAAATTGCCCCTTATTCCATTATAATCTATTTTAGACAAAAAGTTTTCAGATAAAAGTTGTAGATAATCACATCCCTAATGAGTTTGTATTCTTCGATTTTTACTAAAGTCTATCATTTATGACACATGACACAAACATATGTTTTTTTTAAATGGAAACTATAGTTGGCCATGACTTCATAAGAAGCGCCATTTTTTAAGCTTTTCAACGATATAAGCTATAATATGTTTTTTTTCACAAAATTACTGAGTTATACCGAATTCTTATCTTTCTTGACTAATTTCACTTAGTTAGCCATGGAAACAATTTCATTCGTCGTTGCTCTCAGAAATGTGAAACTGTCACATACAAACTTTGTAAATTAAAATAAATAAAAATTGTAAATATGAATTTTTCACCAAACCTAACCAAACCAATTGCATGGGCCTCCTCGATCACCTGATCTATCCATTTTATATTTTTTATGCGGTATGGTTAACAACAAGATTTACAAAAGAGCCTATGAATTAAGAGAGGCACTCGAAGAGGCGGTACAGAAGTTTAATTAAGTCGACCGGTCGTTCTGTGAGAATAGCTAGAAATTCAGTTTTAAAAAGATGCATTTATGTACTCAAAACAATGGCGGATTTTTTGACCATTTTCTAAAATAACTTAAAGTGTATGTAGTGATATTATTTTCTTAAGTTTTAGTTTGTGAAATGTAAATTGCAAAGAGCCGTTTAATAATATATTTTGTATTTTTATAAGTTATAAATCATAACAAAATAAGAACACCATGTCAACTAAGTGAAATCAGACAAGAAAGATAAGAATAGGCTACAACTCGCTACAATTTTTTGAAAAACCGGTCGACTTAATTAAACTTCTCTCGTACCGCCTCCTGTACATATGTATACAATATAAAATTATTTAATAATGTCTATAGTATATCCAGGATGATCATAAATATTTAGATAAATATATATTTTCAGTTAAAGAATATGATATAAATATTATCTAATAATTTCGTGAAACTTTTAGAACATTTTGAATCCATCCATACATTTTATCTTAAAAGTTTACTATTTTAAAAAATAATTTCTTCTTGAAAACTTACTTTTAAGTCAAGTTTTTTTTCTTTTTTTTTGGGGGCAAATATAAGATCTTAATCTCTGACTTTCTGTGAAAGCTTTTTCTGATTTTATTCCTCGGCTTTTTGAACACGTAATGACAAATAACTAATATTTCTAAATAGCTTTCGAAAGAATCGAAAGTTTTATGTCAAGGAACTACTAGCTTAATATTTACAATAATGAGAATTCTATAGTCGTTATTCTTCGTACTAGACGAGGGAGTACATACATTTAAAAACCTTAGTATGCAAAGCATAACTTTTTATATCCATCATTGCATTAGTTATAAGCAGTTTAATCTTAATTAAATATTTGTGAGAAAACAAAATTAGTAATCATATATTAAAAGAACAGAATAGACAGAGACAATGGTTATATTTCTCCTAGTTTCCCTTTTCTTAATGTTCTAGTTTCATGTAATTTATAGTTTGTTATTCTCGGTTATGCTTGAAGCTCCACGCTATGCTATGCCAAACAGGAACATAAATAAATTGATACACAAAAGCACAACATGCATTGAGTGATAAACGTATGAGATTTTCTGTGCAACTTTAAAGGTTTTTAGGTAAGACGAATTAAAATTTTAACGTCATTTAGCTGATATATTTAGGTTTGTTGTAAATATTTTTGAATCGCCATGAAGCAAAAAGAATTTCTGATTTTGATTGAAAAAGTCGTTGTCTTATAATATCAAAAAAGAACTTATTTTTCATTTAAACACATTTTAAGATATAATAAAATTATATAAGGATGCTTGCCACTTAACTGCTGATATAAAAATTTAATTCCACGCTGTGTTTGTCATAATGTGGATCAACCTGCTCTCACTACCGGTTTCGGAGCCCTACTCCCTTATCAGGTGAGCTTGGGCAAATACCACAAAATGACAAACACAGCGCAGAGTAGTTAATTCCGACTTGTTGGAAAGTATCGGTTAAATATTAAGTTCCGAACGGGAGATAGCGGCCTGCGTTCAATTATAGTACTTTTGTACCACCGAGGCGCAACTATCGATAGTAAATAAGATGGTAAAAGGTTTTTTTTTCAGACAAGTCAAATTATAAAAATGGAAAACAAATTTCTTGCAGTATAGGTATATAATAAAATTATATAAGGATTCTTGCCACTTAACTGCTGATATAAAAATTTAATTCCACGCTGTGATTGTCATAATGTTGATCAACCTCCTCTCACTACCGATTTCGGAGCCCTAGTCCATCATAAGGTGAGCTTGAGCAGATACCACAAAATGACAACTACAGCGCAGAGTAGTTAATTCCGACTTGTCGGAAAGTATCGGTTAGATATTAAGTCCCGAACGGGAGATGGGTGCAATGGTAGCACTTTCGTACCACCGAGGCGCAACTATCGATAGTAATCACCACTGATAGATAAACCACTGCTGATAATTAGTCTCCGTTGGATTAACACAGAAGTGTTTACAAAATATAATTATTTTATTTTGTAGATTTTTTTACAGTAGCGAAATATACTTAGAATTATTTGGAGAGATGAATCCGCCACAGAGGTATTACTTAGTGTTTAATTATTCTGTATAAATGCAAAATTTCTCAGTTTCATAACCAAATGATATATGATATGCAGTTATTTCATTTTTTAGATTTATTATACGTATTTTCTGGAACAACGCTCTTTTAATTATTTTATAAAATTTTATCTATTTATATATATTTTAATTTAGTAAAGCGTAATTTCATAAATTAATATCTTCAGTTTGATATTAGGGGTAAAATATCAAAAAAGATTAACGGAAGTTTTACTGTAATATAAAATTCAAGAGTTTTATGAGAAAGAATTCAACTCCCATATCACTTACCGACCAATCGCAACTTGAATTCCGCTCTCAAAATAAAGAGATCAGAACATTCCGTGGTCCTCTTCTAGTTTTAATTACTTCGCCCACTCGAAACTCCCGCCGGACTTCGACAACCGCACAAACATTTTACAGGAAACTCGACGTCAAACGAGCGCGGAGCGGCTGGCTAATTAAAACCCGTTTTTCTTTTTCAGACCGGTACGGCCCTGCTCTACGACGCGTTAAACGTTTTCATTACGGCCTTCCGGGACATGGCGGCCAAAGAAGATCCAATAATAAAACCTCTGGATTGCGACGACTACGAGTTTTCGGAGCATGGCCAGAGAATTGGGGAACTCGTTAGAAAGGTAACGTAATTTTCCGTAATAGATTGCTGTTTTTCCAATAAACATGGTCTAGATTTTTAAGAGTAAAAAGGCGAGTTTTACTCTATAATAAAGGAAATTGAACATTGTGTGTACGATGAGTCAGTAATAAATTGAACTCGTTATAAAGTAATGTAGTTTACTGTAACAGATTGTTTTTTTTTAAACAACAAAAGATGACTTTTATATTGGTAATGGTAAAGAAATTCGAACAAACGGAAGAAACAGGTTAATCTATACTAATATATAAAATCCTTAAGTGACTGACTTACGATTACATTACATCACGATCCTGCTCAAACCACTCAACGTAAGAAGCTCAATTTTGGCATACAGCTTGATTCTAGGGTGTAGAGGTTCGATAAGAAGGGATTTTTCGAAATTCCGAAAAAACGCTTAAACACGTATATTTTATTCTGTTTTTTTACATATTTTAAGATTTTTTAAAAATGTGTACAGGGTGTCTCGAAAAATCTAGTCATTGATTAATCACGATCCTTATTAAAGCGCTCGACGTAAAAAGCTGATTTTTGGAAAACAGATTGACTTTGGGGTGTAGAGGTTCGATTAGAAGGGATTTTTCGAAACTCGAATTCTAAGCGGGTGAAAAAACTATCCCTCAAATATTAAAATATTTTTTATTTAATAACTGGTGAGTTTTTCGGAAAAACTCTTAAACACCTATATTTTATTTTGTTGTTTTACATATTTTAAGATTTTTTATAAATTTATACAGGTTGTTTCATAAAATATGACCATTGAGTAATCACGATTCTGCTTAAACTGCTTGACGTTTAAATCTGATTTTTGGTAAACGGATTGAATGTGGGGTGTAGAGGTTCGATAAGGAGGGATATCTCGAATCTCAAATTCCAAGAGGGTGAAAACGTCCCTCAAATATTACAATATTTATTATTTAAAAAACGGTTAGTCTTTCGAGAAAACGCTTGGACAAGCATAATTTATTTGGTTTTTTTACATATTTTGAAATTTTTTAAAAAAATCGTACAGGGTTTCCCAAAAAGTTAGGTAATTTCTTAACCACGATTCTGCTTAAACTGCTTGACGTAAAAAGCTTATTTTTGGCAAACGGATTTTTCGAAAGTCAAATTCTAACGAGATGAAACTACCCCTCAAATATTACCAAGTTATATAATAATATCACCATATTGTTTTTTCTCATGCTGACATAAATGTGAGAAAATTTTATCCACTTTGAATGATAATGGAAATTCTTTTGCTTTGCTTTATCATCACCATTACAAATGACTAATTCGACGCGAACGTAATCGCTGGTACACGCTAGTATTTTGTATATGGCGAGTTCGTAATAAAGTTGATGAGATCATTATTTTTAAATCATTTTTCAAATACCATAAAAAATAATAAGAAATTTGTTCGAAAGGTAACTATATTTCCTAGAATGAACTTGCATTTCTTCTATAATGTTAGAAATTTTTAAAGACAAAAGATTACCAGAAAATATTGCTATGTCTTGGAGTGATTTGTTGTATGCAGATGATTGCAACGTAATTGTTAGCGCAAAATCAATTGAAGATCTTATCACTCATATTAATGACACTTTTTCTTGGTGTAAGTTAAATAACCTCAAATTAAATACAACGAAAATATTCGCAGTACAATTTGTCACAAAAAATAGAACATTGAATTTTAATTCATTATTTCTCTCATACCTATATAAAATAGACTTCCAGGTATAATCCTCATCTTTTCCTTTTATATAGTAAAGTTCTTAAAAGTTTTCTTAAAGAAAATGTATTGCTTGGTTAAAAAAATCCCGGAAATTTCTCCATCATTAAATAAATTCCTTTTAAATGAGTATTTATTACTACTTGCACCACGTAACTTAATAAATGAAGCAATAAAGTGCAAAGCGCACCTTGGCATTGAAAAACGACAGAATTTTAGTTTACGTACAAGACAATTTAATTTTCTTTAGTGTTGTTGCTTTATATCAATCGACAAAAATGTATAAAACAAATAACTAAAGATATAGTGGTACGTTAAAAGTATTAGTCAATATCTATATGTATATCAAATTTTATAAGCAAAATATATTACTAGAGGTACATTTTCTATTCAAAAACTGTATAAACATACACATTATCCAAAAGGGTCGTGTATTTCTTTATTGCCTTGTTTAAATGTAATCAAAACAGCATACAGACCGGACCACCGTAGTAGTAACATAGGCAGAACCGGACGAATTAGCGTATACCCGTCCGCCGGATAAAAAGCAGGCGAAAAAATGCGATAAAATAAAAATAGGTGGATATGTGATAAGAATGTTTCAGAATTTGTATTTATTCATGTTTTAATAGCCAAAACGAATACGTAGATTCTCGCGACAGTTCTAGTGTAAAATTTATTTTTTAAGTAAAATAATGGATGTTTATGAAGTTCGTGAGGAAATTCAAATTGTAAAATTGTATTTCGAAAATAGGTCTTATCGGGATATACAAACAATTTTCCACAAACTTTTGTAAACAGGCCAATTCCATCTTTATCTACTATATCAAGAGTTATTAATAATTTTGAAACACATGGGTGCGTGTCCCCACAAAAATACAAAAAGCCGGATGTGTTGATTAATGAAGAACAGGAGTTATAGCAAGTGTTAGTTTGTGCTAACGTGGATCAAAATCCCACGTTTTCAAGTAATCAAATTGCTGAGGTGGTTGCCCTACCCACAATGCCCGTATTGTTCAAGAATATTTGAACAATACTTTTCCCAACCGTTTAATTAGTGGATATGGAACTATTTTGTGGCCCGCTAGATCACCAGATCTTTCTCCCAATGATTTCTTTTTGTAAGGTTATGTAAAATCCAAAGTGTATGGTCATGATAGGGCTAATAATCTGGATAAGCTTCAAGTAAAAATACGAGAGGCTTTCCAAACTGTTAGCCCTAATATGTTAGCCAATGTCAAACGGGGATTTTACGACCGCCTAGGCTTCTGTCTAACACAAGAAGGTGGTCTTTATGAACACTTGTTATAACTTTTTTTTTTATTTTTAGAGTGATATTATAGTTTTTTTGGGGTTTAGAGAATTTATTTATTTTTAGTTTTGGCTTGTAAACACACTCAAATAATAAATATTTAAGTATTTTTATTTTAAATGTTACCTTAAGTGAAGGTAAACACTTAAAATGAAAATAATAAATACACGGCACTCCTCGCGTCATATTCCTAGTCTGTCACGACCGACCCGTCCAAGCACAACTGCAACTGCGTACTGCCTGACCAGCCGACTAGCCGGCAGTGACTCTCGAGTACGAACGCAAAATGGGTAAACGTAAATTCGTCCGGCAACCTGCTATGTTACTAGTCACCTGGTCTTCTGTATATAACAAATAAGATTTTTTTTATATAAATGAAATGGAAAATAATCTAACTACCAGGTGCGTCTCAAAAGTGTTCAAAAAATTTCTACTTTATTTGATAGAAAATGACACTTTGTTTAAAAAGTCATATTATATGTCAACTTTTGACATTTTCCTTTAAAAATCGTATTTTTAGATTTCAATCTAGAGTGCCATGGTAGTGTTAAACACTCTAATTTTTAATCAAGGAGCCTTGGAAACATATATTTTATCAAGTCTAATGTTTTCGTGTCTTGTCTTGGTCGGTTAAAACATGCCCGAATCGTATTTTTTAATCATATTTCAATTTTTTCAAATGGAACAAGGGTAGCTCATGAGTACATTTGAGACAGTATTTTTTACGAATGCTTTGGTACCACACACTTGGTATTTCTTGAGTCAAATTGTCGTTATGAACCGCATGTTACAATTTCAAATAAACCATATGCGAAAAGTCAAAAGTTGACGTTATTTATATATTCAGAGTGTCATTTTCTATCGAATAAAGTAGAAATATACCACGGGTTCCATTTAAAAATCAAAAAGTTGTAGGGTGAGTCACTTTTTGAGATGCACCAGGTATGCATTATATTTTTTATACCTTTCGATATAAAAATTAAAAGTAAAATGTGTAATTTCCTCTTTATAATCTGCAAATCTGTTAAATACATATTAGTTCAGCATCGTTTTCCTCTGTTGGGTATATTCATATACATAACAATGGGAACGTAAAAGGTTAATTATCTGATATTTGGCATGAGGAAATAGTGTTATTATTAAATAATAGCATTTGAAGTTCAATCTCTGATCGGCATTTATTTAGTTATGCATAAGTTTATTGATTTATTCTAAACTATAAGGTTTTAGTTTTTTGCTATGATACAAAAAAATCAATTTTAATAGGCTATTTTGTAAATAGCTTCTGAATAATATATATTTACAGATGTCAACAAAGTTATTCTTCTGTAAACAAGTACATACACTCCTATTAAATTTAGAAATATATAAAACCTTTCAAAATTCGAAGAAATTGCGGTAATTTATACAAACTGAATAATACAATTGAGTATTTAGTATCATTGATTGTGAACATGAAACAGTTTTACCCACCAAATTCTATGTGAACAAATTAAAGTGTCATCAGAAAGATATTATTACATCCACAGGTGTTTTAAAACAAATTCGAAAAATTTCAAGAGGTAGCTATCGGTCTGATCCACTGCGATCTTTCCAGGTCTATTCTACTATAGCTTTAAGGGTTTATTCATTAACAAAAAGAAAAGATAGTTCGTTGCATTAACGTTGGGTCAATAGTCAATCACTATCGAAAAAGTAATTATCAAATTGAAGTGGATTGCTTGTGTTTTGAAACACTTTGAAACTTTGTATATATAGAAATGTTAACATTTTTGTATACAATTATAAGATTGGTGAAGGTAAAACCTTATTTCTATTTCGCAGCCTCCAAAAACGAGCAAAAAAATTTTACCAGGTCCATTATCAGATCCGATATATTTCGACGACAGCGGCCAAAGAACAAACATCGACCTGCAGATTATCGAAAGGTCTAAGACGGAGGTGGGCTTCAGAGTATCAGGGACGTGGAATTCCAAGAAGCCCAACGTCATCCGGTATGCTGTCACATCGGAGGAAAGAGAGAAGGAACTGCAGAAGGAAATTCAACAGAAGAATTTCAGAGTAGTCTCCAAGTATGGTAAAATAACATAATATTATAATTAACATAAAAATAAAGATTAATTTAGATTAATTCTATTCTTAAATATAATAATTGAGCACGTTCACTGCGCCATTCGATTAACTTCACTTTTTGAAAAATTACTCGTTTTAGACATTATGTTGTAAGCGCCACATTATTTCGTCAAACGTTAATAGTCAATCAATTGTAGATCCATTTAAAACTAAATTAATCATCTCCAAAAAATAAAACACTTTATAACATTAAATAAAGAATAAAATTCCATTATAAAGTATTAATTAAAAGCTACATATATGTACTAGTTATTTAGAGTACAACTGTGTGTACGAGTGTTATAATCATGTTTAAACGCACGTGTCATGTACAACGTTTTATCTACAACCGAAAAATAAGAAAATGCTGTTTTAATTTTCGTTTATTAGTCGCCCACTTTTAACACCTTTAACTATGACACTTGTCACATTTTTTTAATTATAATTGTGGGGAATTGTTACCTGCTTCAGACTATAGCTACAAACGTTTTTTATCAAGTAGAGAGTTTTTTTTCTGAAAAATAAGTTTGCCCTGTCAAGTAAACGAGAGCACTTTTTGCCAAGAAAAATCATTTTAAAAATTACGACGAGCGATTCCGAAAGTCTCCTTTCAGATGTAGAAGTTGCTGCAGTACGTGCCACGGAGTCATTATTGCCGGAAAAGTCGCGATCAAAATATGAAAAAACATGCAACCAGTTTTTGACATGGTGTGATGACAAAAAGGTGAAAAATCAATGCAATGAAAAAGTAATTTTAGCATATTTTTAAAATCTTGCACGGAAATACAGCGCATCAAGTCTATCAGCTGCAGGAATTGTTTTGAAGAAGTGTAAAAAATGTGTTATTAATATTTATAATAATTAGTAGTAGGAATTTGTATAAAAAATTAATATATTTAGATGTGTTCGTAGTTGTTTTTCATTATTATAAAAACTAGTTGTGTTATAGATTCATAACACCACTAGTTGTGTTATGAATCTCATAACGTAAGTGAAATACTAAAAAAATAGTGATGTAAAAACGATATAACTAAACGGTTGTAGATAAAAAATATTACATAGTTATAGATACTGACAATTATACATGTTTTATATAAAATTAACAATTGGTTAATACAAATAATTACATTGTGGGAAAAATAGTTTCCCTGTTATTGTTTATACTCATACCTACCTACTAATAACCTGTGACTTGCACCGATATTATATAGGCAACGAAAATAAATAACATTCTGCATAATATTTTAGTTTACGATTACCACTTCTTTGAAAGACAATTCAATAAATGTAGCTCCCTGTTCAAATCGTGAAAGTACATATAGGAGATTAGAAGAAAATAATTTAAAACACTTTATAGATATGTTGAATCTACAATAATTACTATACAGGGTGTTCCAGAAATAAGTGCAAATATTTGCTAGCTGGGAGTATAGTACGACCCCAGAATTTTTTTTTTAGAATTTAGAATGAGTGGGAGGGGGGTTAATCACTTCGACCTTACAGATCCATTGTGTCCCCCTTTCTTGAATCATAACTCATCATACAGTCCCAGGGCTTTGACAAAAGCCAGTATCTGGGACGGTTTTATAGAGGGTAGTTCTCCATCTCCAACATCAGTCGTACCAAAAATTCATGGCACGATGGTTGTCGTCTCGGCGCACTCAGTGATGAGGTGTACTGGTGTTTCCCCATCTTCCCCACAGAATCTGCATTCGCCGTTTCCTCTTAGTTTCAATCTACTGAGGTGTCCATTGAGGAGACAGTGTCCTGTTAAAAACCCCGTGACAATCCGAAGATTGTTCTTACTCAGACCCAGGAAGGTCTGTGATTTTTCTTGATCATAAGCCCTCAGAAACTTCTTCGAGTGTCTTAGACCATTACAAGATTTCCATTCCAGGTTGCGGATGGAATCTTCCAAGTTCTTGAGTTCCGCCTTGAGTTGGTTCCCACTTGGAAAGCAGAACGGTTCTGGTCCAGTTAGTGGAGTGTTCGCTCCTTTCCTAGCTAGATTATTTGCTTTTTCATTGCCTTCTATCCCTTGGTGAGCAGGCACCCAGTGTAGGAGGACTTTGTTTTCTTTGCCTAATTTATTCAGCTTCTCAATGCATTCTTTGACCAATTTCGAATTGATTGATACTGAGTTGATCGCTTTTAACGCTGCTTGACTATCAGACAATATGGCTATTTCTTGTTTCCGATAGTTCCTATCTAAGATAAGTTGTACGCATCTTTCGATAGAGTAGATTTCTGCCTGTAGGATACTAGGGTAAGTGCCCATTGGTTCGAAGTATTTAGCTCTCGGCCCAAACACTCCCATCCCTGTTCCCGTATTGATTTTGGAAGCATCAGTATACCAAGTTATTGTATGGTCTTTTAACTGCTGGGCAAGCGTTTCGCTCTTCCAATCCTTTTTATTGCTCAATACTACATTGAGATGTTTCTCAAAGTTGTACGTTCTTGGCATATCGTCCACTAGGAGTTGCAGGAGTGGTATTTCCTTTATGAGGGTGTTCCAAGTCCCTGATCTGACAATTCTCCCAGTACTAATTCCGTTAGTGACCATTCTAATCAATGTCGCATTGGCATATCTACCAATGACAATGTGCAGTGGTGTTAGATCTAGAATGACCTCCATTGCTGCTGTTGGACAGGTTCTCATGGCTCCTGTGATGCAAACGCATGTTAGTCTCTGGACTTTGCATAGGTTTAGCCTTGCCGTCCGTTGCTCTAGTTTTGTGTACCAGGCAACTGCTCCATAAGTAATCATGGGTCTTACTATCATGGTATACATCCAGCGCAAAATGTTAGGGAAGCAGCCCCATCTATTTCCGGCCAGTCTTCTGCATATCATGAGAGCCTTTATGGCTTTGCTGGTAGTGTTCTTAATATGCCTGTTCCACAGGAGTTTACTGTCCAGGGTTATTCCCAGGTATTTAACTTCCTGTGTTGGCAGTATTTCCTTTCCATCTAGTTGGATTCTTTTCAAGTTTTTCAGACTTCGCCTTCTGGTGAATGGCACTATCGCGGTTTTGTCTGAGTTGATACTCAGCCCGACAGTCCTACGACCCCAGAAACACGCCCATGAATTTTTTTTGCAATAAAAATGTTGAAAATATATTTTTCTTGACATCTTCGGGAAAATATTGATAACCTTATGAGTACCGCTTCTTCACTTTCCGGATATTTGTTTATAGCGCTTCTAGAGAATGCAATGTTGACACCTCCTACGTTATCCACATTCTGTATGTTTATAAGTTATAAGTTGACATTTTTAATACTTAAAAATACTTAAATTAATTTTATTTCCTGTAGATTTTTACCCATTGTAGATTACCATTAAGTATAGTGCAACTACTATTATAAATCCCTTTTTTATAGTTTAGTAAACTGAAATAATGAAACTAAATAATAAATAATTATTATAGCAGCTTTTCAACAGTTCAGAATCAGCGCCCTCTATTAGATATATAAATAGTCAACATTTTCCCTACATTTAAAGAGATCAGCTTTTAGAATATCCAATTTATTTGAGATTTTACATAAAACAGTAAATCTCAGACAAAACTAAAAGAAAATAGACAAATGTAAGGTAGTAATTATTATTTTTCAAATAAAAGTGTCAATTATTTTGGTGCTTAATCACAAAAACAAGAGTTTGAGATAGAAATCGGTGTATAAATTCTCAAAAAATAATGCTTAATAATTCAGATGGCATATGAATGTATTTGTGCCAAATACAAGCGTAAGTATAGTGCTGTCAAGAATTGCAGTAAAATAATGCGTTGTTAAGTGTAGAGTTCCGATTTAAGGTAAAGCGATAAAACGACGCTCTAACCTAATTACGTCGATCTGCTATCTGAGTCTTGTTCTCTAGTATTAGGTAAGTTAGGTAAGTTTTATTTTCAATTTGAAATTTCCAAGTCGTTTTTAAGTATTTTTGGTCAATGTATCAACCCTGAGTAATTATTTGAAATTTGCGGCTAATTATCGATTGCTGTCAGCGGCTCTCAAAATGCTCTCATTATTTTTTTTTTAAATTTCAAAGTTAAATAATTTGATTATTATCAAATTATTTTAAAAACGGTAAAGAAAAACTATGTTTCTTTTGGGTCAGATCTACCATCCCTTAAATATACTTGCACTTATTTCTGGGACACCCTGTATAATTTTTCGAACTAATTGTTTTGTCAAGATAACATTCTTTTTTAGCACAATATGTAAATAGTCTGTCTTACAAAAGTACCATACGATCAAAAAAAGAACGGTGTCAAAGACGGCTAAAAAATGACAATCGATCATAATTTTGGTCAAGCCCTAGATATCATTAGTTGGCCCATACTCTTCTTTATTTTTTAGTGGCACCTACTTTTTTACACAACAAGTGACAAGTTTTATGTCAATTTTTAGTTAATGACGTCTAGGATGACTGATTTCTCGTCTAGGATTGACTGATGTTTCTTTCGGTCATACGGTATATTCTTAAATCTTTCTTTCACAAAAGCAGTGCGCATTCATATTGTTTTAATAGCAATAATAATAACAATAAATACTTATTGAACACCACTCTCCATCCTATATGTGTAATAAAACAAGTTATACCTACATCTAATATATATATATATATATATATATATATATATATATATATATATATATATATATATAGAAAGAAGCAGTCCACAAAGATAGTCGGCGATGTTCGAAAACGACTGTAGACCAGTAGCTGTTCGGTTACTACGGAATGTGAACTGCGATCCTGAAAGAACGAGGCAGCTGGTCCCGGCAGTATTGGCTACTCTGAAAGCGTCGCGGAGGTGTTCCACTACCTTCTGCCCAGCAAAACACAACGCGAGTCGTGAGCTGGTGTTCCAGTTGTCCGGCTGACTGCCCGTAGACCAGTCGCGCTGGAACGATCCAGCGATCCTTTGAGCAGAAGCAGCAACGAGGTACAGCAGCTTGC